TATAGAAAATCGACGCACACACACAGATCAAATACTCAACTCACAAAGGAAACTGTGTGCAAACATTGTTTAAAAGAGTTCAGACACATTGTAGCACTCAAGAGTTGAAAAGAAAGGAAGAAAAATACTTACAAACGGTCTTCAAAAGGAATGGATACCCTCACAAAATTTCATCAAAAAGTGTTTAAAATCGAATCAAAACACCCACAAGGAACCGTCGTCAAAGAACACAAGAAAATTCATCCAACTGTACATGAGTAATATCTGTGAAATAACAGCTAGAATACGGAAACCGTTTGATATAGATATAGCACACAAGCCAGTAAGCCAGCCAGTGCAATCACATAATTCGATATTGTGCAAACCGAAAGACCCATTCAAAAGAAAAAGGAGATAAAATTAATACCATTTACACAATAAATTGCATGTGTGAACTGCAACAAGCATTACATCGGCCAAAGTGGACGTCCCCTTCGAATCAGAATCCAGGAACACAAATCGGCCGTGAAAAGACACAATATATATTCTTTATTATCAGTGCATATAGACAATTATGGTCATCAATTTGATAACTGGGATAATGTCAACATTTTAGACAGGGGAGACACCACCAAAAGTGCAGTCAGGGAATTCCTAGAAACCTGGTACTCAAACGAAAATGTAATTAACAAACACGTTAATATAGACGAAATATACCAACTAATAAAAAGTAAATCAGATGACCAGAAAGTTTAAAATCCAAGTCAGTAGAAAATGGTCAATACATATGTAAAGATGGCTACCAGGAGACGCAATTCTGTCACCACTCATGAAGAAATTTAAATCGCTTCTCTTTATGCTGAAGGGGATGTTGTCCAGAAGGACGACGAAAGCACCGCAACTCAACCAACTAGCTCCTCAGAGAACACTATTAATTGCGAATAATAATAAGAACAGCATGATGCATGTATAATTCATATTAGCATGAGTAGATTTATTTGATTATGAATATTTACTCTAAGTTAACAGAATACTGAGAAGTACTCAATCGACTCATCATAATCGTACTGTTTTTCCTTTCCTCCCATTGTGTTATTTTAAGAAAACTATCTTTATTTATTTATTATTATTGCGATTAGATTGATTACGCCAATTTCATTCGTCTAACCAGAATTAGAACAATATGTATAAGCGAACAATATTGTTTTCAATTAGATCCCCTTCTTAAGGCTTTACTCTAATTTACATAGATTTATATATAAAGTTTTAACCAATGACGGTGATTTTGGGAATCAAATAATAATCTAAATAATAATGTGGTAAATGTTTTGAACGAAATTATTTACGATGATTATAATGATAACAAAATATTGATGATAAGGTTTATGCAGGTGGGGCGATAAGAATAACAAAGATAGTATATGTATATAAGTGTATAAATAAATAAATTGGGTCAAATCTTAAAAGGTGAAGTGGAACGATAATCAGAGTTTAAATAAATATTATAAAAGTATAGAGGAGGTGGAAAATAAGAAACGGTGGGAGGGTTTTGAATACAATTCACCTAGGCTAAGCAAGGGAGAGACAAAGGTAGAACAAACTTCTTTTGTATGCAAAGACACTAGGATTGTTCTCTCGAGTTCATTCCAATAGCTTCTTCGGCTAGGTGTAAAAGACGGCTTCTGATTCCATTCGATAGACTCGATGGAATACGATAGATAACTTTGAAGGCGGCACTATTTTTGTCCACTTGGTGACCGCAGTCATCAATCAAATGAGCCAAAATCGAACTTCGTATGGATTTTATTTGACCTTTTCCGAACCATGAAGGAAGATGCTCATTAATGCGTTTGTTGAGCTGTCTAGTTGTTCGCCCTATATAGCTTTCTCCACAGGAGCAACTAAATTTATAGATACACATAGAAGTGGAACAGCTAGCTAGGTAGCTTGTCTTTCACTTGAGCAATCGAAATTGGTCGGCTGGAAAATGACAAACAAAGGGTGGCGGCAGTATAAGTCCGTTTTATCGCTCTCGATTATCTCAGATGTAATACTTCACTAGCCACGTCCCCATTAAATTGAAGTTTCATGAACAGTTCTTTCTTATTAACTGTTGTCAGTTTTTCTTTGTTGTATGTACTCGGTGTTCATGTGTCTCCTAACAAATCTACTAGGATAACCCATTTGGACCAGCGTATTTTGGATATATCCTAACTCATTTTCTAGAGAGTCATCTGTACAAATACGTCTTGCTCTATTCGTAAGGCATCTGACCAAATTGATTTTGTGTGTGGGATTCGTACAAAACTGAGGAAACGTGTATATTGTCCTACCTTTTAAGATGTATTATGAATATACATTTCATATTCAACAACCTTTACTACAGGCAAATCGACGTTATTGCCATGGGTTCTCCATTGGGGCCAATTTCGGCAGATTTCTTTCTAGACAATATTGAAAATGGTGCATTGAGACAAGTAATAGAGAAAACTGATTCTTATTTTCGTTATGTTGATGATACGTTCATTATTCTTGATGTGAAAACTGACAAGAATGAAATGTTAAAAAAGTTTAATGATGCACATCCATCGCTCATCTTCACTTGTGAAGAACATGATGGTGGATTACATTTCCTTGACGTCCAATTGAGGAGAAGAGAGGATGGTTCACTCAAGAGAGACGTCTATAGAAAACCTACATCTGTAGGACAATACAATACTCATTTCCTCAGTTTTGTGCCAATCCAATATAAAATCAATTTGGTCAGATGCCTTACGAATAGAGCAAGACGTATTTGTACAGATGACTCCCTAGAAAATGAGCTAGAATATATCCAAAATACGCTGGTCCAAATGGGTTATCCTAGTAGATTTGTTAGGAGACACATGAACACCGAGTACATACAACAAAGAAAAACTGACAACAGTTAATAAGAAAGAACTGTTCATGAAACTTCAATTTAATGGGGACGTGGCTAGTGAAGTATTACATCTGAGATAATCGAGAGCGATAAAACGGACTTATACTGCCGCCACCCTTTGTTTGTCATTTTCCAGCCGACCAATTTTGATTGCTCAAGTGAAAGATAAGCTACCTAGTTGTACCACTTCTATGTGTATCTATAAATTTAGTTGCTCCTGTGGAGAGAGCTGGCTATATAGGGCGAACAACTAGACAGCTCAACAAACGCATTAATGAGCATCTTCCTTCATGGTTCGGAAAAGGTCAAATAAAATCCATACGAAGTTCTATTTTGGCTCATTTGATTGATAGCGGTCACCAAGTGGACAAAAATAGTGCCGCCTTCAAAGTTATCCATCGAGTCTATCGAATTGAATCAGAACCCGTCTTTTACACATAGCCGAAGAAGCTATGGGAATTAATTCGAGAGAACAATCCTAGTCTTTGCATACGACCGAAGAAGTTTGTTCTACCTTTGTCTCTCCCTTGATCGCCTAGGTGAATTCTAATCAAACCCCCCCACCCTTTCAACTTTTCCACCTCCTTCGTACTTTTATAATACTTATTTAAACTCTGATTATCGTTCCACTTCACCTTTTAAGATTTGACCCAATTTATTTATTTATACACTTATATACATATACTATCTTTGTTATTCTTATCGCCCCACCTGCATAAACCTTATTATCAATATTTTGTTATCATTATAATCATCGTAAATAATTTCGTTCAAAACATTTACCACATTATTATTATTGTTATTATTATTATTATTTAGATTATTATTTGATTCCCAAAATCACCGTCATTGGTTAAAATTTTATATATAAATCTATGTAAATTAGAGTAAAGCCTGAAGAAGGGGATCTAATTGAAAACAAGAATATTGTTCGCTTATATGTCTTGTTCTAACAAGAATTACACTGGGGAATTACTCTTTTTGCAATTACTCAAATAAAAGATTTTGAACAGTTTAAAAAAGAGTAACTCTCTGTCTGGACATGAGGATGTAATCATTTGTAAAAATTTATAATGCCATTAAAAAAACACATTTGAAATAATGGTAACGTGCCACTTCACATTACCGACCACTGGAATCTTTACTGGTGGCTAACTGTCGCTTGTTTCTATCAACAACACCAGCAATAACAACAAACCTTTGGACATATTTACACGTCCACTTGTTATGTCAGAAAAAGGTCAAATGTCAGGTCACAAGAACTATTACTGGTTATTACATATATTTCAAAGTGATATTCAAAGAACCTTTCAGCGATCATCTTCTACTGACAGTATGAAATAACGACGGATTCAGCTGGCGTCAAATATTCACTGTATTGATCATGTTCATCGTGTATAGAAGTAAGTGACTAGTGTTCAATTCATTCTCATCGATTGTTACATAACGTCGTATTGATAAAACAAAAATTTGCCACAACTGCTAACATCAAAAAAACAAACTTGCCAGTAATTTCACGCTTGACAAACAAACAGCTCATTTCTGGATTATGAATTCTCCGGAGACAATGATAATTTTCGCTGAAACACCAAGAAACATATTTATTGAATGTCAAATCCTTAGACAAAATTATTCCTACATACAAAATTTACGATGTATCTCCTCAAATGTCATCGGTGTAATCGTGGGCTATCTACTGCCTGTCTACAGCATACCCTGTATCCTCGTCAACCTCTTCATCGCTATCACTGTGATGTTCAGATGGAGGACAGCAGCACGTCAGTTGATTTATATCTCAGGAATTTGTTTATCCAGTGCTACAGCCGATGTCTTCTTCATATGGTTATGGCAGTACCCCGCCTTTGGTTTACCGTATACAACAAACGGTACGAAATTCTTCACACTGGTCAATGTCTCCCCGACAGCTTGTCGTTTCCATCGTTTTGTCTATTCATCCAGTGCTACACTGATGTGCAATATGCGTGTTTGCTCTTCCCTGGACAGGTGTCTGGCTATCTACGTGCCAATAAAGTTGAAACGCTTCCATCATAAATACGCTTGGTTCGTGTATGGATTTATGGTGTGTTTCAGTGCATTGCTCATGCTACCGTTGGCTACAGAAATGGATTGGATCCCATCGAAATCTGGCATCAAATGTTGGTTTCGTAGCAACAATAAAGTCTACCTACAACTTCATCATGCCTTCCTGTCAAATTTAGGACCAATTCAAACTATTCTACTCATTATCATCGATTTAGCCTTTATAGTCAAATTTCGTCAACATTTTCATCAGCACATAAACAGGGAGAATCATACAGATAGACAGAGGAAAGACAATAAAAAGTTCAATCGTTATCGACTACTGTTTATCTCAGCAGCGTCTTACACCCTACTGGCTACAGTCCAGTGTATATTCTTATCGATTGCTCGTTTGAGTAGTGTTCATATCATCAAATTTGAAAAAGGCCTTGCTTATAATGTCTCAGATATTTTATGGTATTTAAATATTCTCAGGGGAGTGTTAGACTTTGTCATTTATCAAAAATGTTTTAGAATCTTTGACGTGATTATCTTGAAGCTGTCTGTTATTAGTTTTTGGCGTACACTGGCCACTAGGTCAAGTAGTCTTTACACTGGAACCGGAATGACTACAGAGTAAACTGTAATAACACTATTGATTATATTCTAATGTGATATGAGTGTAGAGAAGAACTCGTGTGATGGTGTTGAATTTGATTTGATAGATACGTGTTTTTGTTGATTTTCCTTTAGATATCTTTTATTTATTTACGATTACATTTCTAGGGTTTGAAGATGTGTGTCCTGTTCAATGGATTACTGCCTTATTTTGCTATATGATTTTGTATTCTATTCAGTGAATTGTGTTCATTGTCAATAGTACTGACTATGACATAAATACGGAGAATTTATTGATTTTCATTTGAAAACAATTATATTATTTTTTAGAGAAGAATGTATTATTATTATTATTGTTCCCTTGGGTTCCTAGTGGAACAAAGGGCTTCAACTGCACGTCTCCACTTGCTTCTGTCTTCTGCTGTACTGTACTTTTCACCTGCATCCATGTTAATCCATAATGTTTCAGTTCCTCATCACACGATCTCCTCCATGTCACCCTTGGAGACACGTCCCACTACTCGCTGCTTCCCTTTCGGGTTCCACTCGAGCACTGGCCTGACGCGCGATGTTACCCAGCAGCCGCCTCCTCAGTGAGTGTCCGATCCATCTCCACTTTCTCCGGCATATTTGTTGAGCGATTGGGTCTTGTTTTGTTTGTTCCCATAGTTTCTTGTTGGTTCTTGTTCTTTCCGGACATCTGATCTTCAGAATAGAACGAAGACAGTTGTTGTTGTTGATAAAGGTCTGCAACCTGTTGAAAATATTCTCGGTGACCCGCCAAGTTTCTCATCCGTATAGCAAATGACTGATTTGACGTTTGTATTGAAAATCCGAATTTTGTTGCTGAGTGACGAAGATTTCCAGATTGGTTTCAGGATGATGAATGTGTTTCTCGCCTTCCCGATTCTTGCTCGATTTGACATCCTCGTCCGCTCCTCGTGCTGTAGTTGAGACAATGCTCCGTAGCTAGATAAGTGAAACAAGTAACCTCTTTCAAATCCCTCCCGTTGATGGTGATTGGCGGCGCTGGATGTTGCAGCTGTTGTTGTTGTTGTTGGTTGATTGGTTATTTTCATAATCTCCGTCTTGTCTATGTTCACCGGGATGGAGTCCTGTGTTTGCTGCTTCTTCGACCAGTTTGTCAGTTTTCGCTTGTAAGTCTTCGATTTTGTGTGACATCAAACAGAAATCATCCACGCGCGAAATCCAGGTTTTCTAGGTTCTTCACATTGGTCCAGGATACCCGTGTCTTCTTGTTTCCCACTGTCTAACGACGCATAATCCAGTCCACCACAATTAGGACTGGATTTCATCATGAGCTGACATCAATTAGAGAAGCATTTGAAAACCAGCCACATGGAGTACTGGAGAGCTGTTTCGAAATCCGGCGGATGAGTTCTGATGAAGTGTCATTTACAAACTAGGCTGACGAAACAGCTATCCAGTACAGTTCAGCCCGACTTCCAAAGTTTGCTAGAGGTTTGCAAATTTTACATGTTGTCAGTTGACAAAAAGTTCCACAGTAAGTGAACAGTGCTCAGAAAATTGCGCTTATATAGTTTTTACATAGGCAGTTCAAGTGTAAACAAAATAGATTATATGCATACAATGGTAAAAGAGTTACGTAATAAAGACGAATTATGCGTTAGATACAGAGTGACAAATGTCTTCATGTCAAACCTTGAGAAAACAAAGTTGAAGCATGCAATCGATCAAACAACTTCCTATTGTCAATATGTCGATGATACATTTGTAGTACGCAACAACGAAAGTCATGCCTCCTACCTACTCAGCCTATTCAACAAAGCACATACAAATATTTTATTTACCATGGAACATGAAAATGACGGGAAGTTCGATTTCCTTGAGATCGCCATACAACGCCTAGAAGATGGTAATCTCCAGAGGTCAATTTACCGAAAGCCTACATGGAATGGACAATACTTACATTTTAATAGTTTCTGTCCAAATACCTATAAACGAGCACTAGTCAAGACTCTGTACAATAGAGCAAGGAGAATATGCTCTACAGAGAAACTAGAGGAAGAATTTATGATTCTCGAAAAGGTGCTGAAAAACAACCGTTACCCTCAAAGATTCATTAACAAATATGGAAGATGTGAAGGCTCAAATACCAAACAAATCACAGTTGAAAAAGCCTGTCTTCCTTCAACTAGATTTTACAGGTGAAAACACTGCAGCCTATCCTGCAGCTAAGTTGGTTCCCGTCCATCGAATAACATGCACTTTGGTGCAGTCAAAAGTCGATAGATACCCTTCTCATGTTAAATCCAACTGTGTATACAAATTTACGTGTATCTGCGGGAGCAGTTACATTAGGAGAACAGAAAGAAGGGCACACCTTCGATTTTTTGAACATGTGCCAAAAGCCTACGTCTCAGGAGAACAAACTCTTATGGCAGCGCCAGCACTAGACATCTTCTCGACACGGGTCATGAGGTAGAAATCGAGAAATCCTTTAAAATTATCAATAGACAAAGGAGTTTGCCGAAGCATTCTCTATGAAACGCTTGAAACCAGATTTATGTGTCCAGAAAGAAGCAGTTATTAATCTTCCCTTGCCCTGGTAACTGAATGTCTTTATTCTCTCATCTGATTACGTAATCTCTGTCTTTAACCTCACCCCCTTTTATAATCTGTAATTTCGCTTGTCTCTTGTTTCTATGATTCGAGTTGAACTCAGTACACTGTTACCCAATTTATTAGTCACTCTGTATCTAACGCATAATTCGTCTTTATTACGTAACTCTTTTACCATTGTATGCATACATTTATTTTGTTTAAACTTGGACTGCCTGTGTAAAAACTATATAAGCGCAATTTTCTGAGCACTGTTCACTTACTGTGGAACTTTTGTCAACTGCCAACATGTAAAATTTGCAAGTATGTTAAAACCTTTCTGTAGGCAAACCTCATAATTTATTTAGGCTGTAAGCAGCTGATGGGAAGCCAACGAAATAAACGATGGTACCATATTATTCTGCACAAACCACACTGTTGTTCTTGCTTTATTCACATTCATCAAGGGGAATAAATGCATGAACATTCACTGTACTTAAAACACAGGAAGGATATAGAAAGATTTTTTGAACACACTAAGTGAAAGGTGGAGGCAATTCAATTCCCTTATGATGAATTGGAAATTCAGGAAGCGGAACTTGCAATGTTAGATTGTAGTTTGAAAAGGAGAGAAGGTGGAAATTTAAACACACATTGGTGTTTACAGGAAACCCACACATTCAAACGGATATTTAGACTTCCGATCATCCCATCCTACGTCAGCTAAAATAGGTTTGGGGAAATGTTTAAGTGACAGAGCACTAAATCTAAGTAGTACCAAGGAAACATTTGTAAAAAATTATATTTGTAAAATCTCAGCGAGATTGAAATGAGTCATTCCAATGTTTCGTTCGGCAATATGGTCCTAACTCCTTCATATCCTTACTTACATCCTTACTTAACTCTGACCACTGCATCATATGTGTATTGCCTAAAATATATTCCAAATCACACAAAGATGTCTTCTCTCACCTCTACAGTAAATTTTTACAGAGATGCTACTCACAAGACAACTTAAGAAAGCTCAGATCCACGTTGAAATACCCTAACTGGGACCTATTTACAGAACAAACAATAAATGACACAATCACAAACACGACAGATTATCTTGAATTCTGTTTCGAAATATGTTGTCCTAAAGAAACATTATTCAGTCGATTGGACCGTTTCTCTTCTCCACACCTCAGAAAGCTACGTAGAGATAAAGAACTGTTGTTCAAAACAAATGATAAGTCAGGTGTAAAAAAGTTAAATACTCTGATAAAATTCGAAATGCAAAGACTAAATGTTTTATATAACAAAAGATTCTTGTCATGTAAAACCCCTTGTAGTTTGTGGAAACTTTTCAAAGAAATTACTAGTGGTAAGCGATGTACTTCTGTCCCATCTCTTAATGTTGACACTCTAAATAAGTCTTTTATACGCTCTTCTGTCGATATCCTTCCTAATGTTACAAATCATATAGACAATAATTTTAGTGGTTTTAATACCCTTGATATGCCTAAATGTCTCCGGTCTCTTAATAATAATAATAATTTGCTTTATTCCAAAACAGTACTTGTGATACATAATGGAATTCTCAGCATTTTTACTACAGTATTACATCCAGTTAGCACATTATCAATAAATAGAATTCTACATAGATTAAGGAAACCTCAGTTCCTTATGACAACAACATATTGTCATGTCGGTAGCAAAGCCAAAGCTGTACGGTGTTTGGAGGTGTTAGAAAAGTAGGTGCTGCTATAATAACTGGCGCAAGCGAGAAAAAGAAACAAACCAGCACAAAACGGAAAAAAGAGAGAGAATAGGAAAAGCAAGGAAAAAAATGTTGTACCTATAAATGATGTGAGTTGGAAAGACGAGATCCAGTTGTACTACTGACTATTTATTGAATTTTAGGTGTCACGCCTAATGCTTTCTTTATCACACAGAACACGAGCTAAGTAGGGTATGGTTGAGTTTTTGTACTTGCTAGTGTGAGCATATAATTTTCTATATAGGCTTCTGGTTTTGCCTGATTAGATGCAAGGTGATAGTTGTGAGTGGAGAGTGTGGTGTGAGTTAGATAAAATGGATTTAGCCCATTTTTCACATGAGTTCAAGTGCCTGCCTGTCGACCAGAATATTACCAAACTGGTTGAGTGGCACGTTGCTTACCCTGCTGACAGCCTTTAGCATCCTGCGTAATATATTATAGTCTTTTTTCAGTAGCCCTGGAAAAACTAAGGGGGAACAATAGAGAACAATAGGCAGAATGCGAGAGTTAAGGAATTGTAGGAGTAAGGGTTAGGTTATACCAGAGTATTATAAGATTTGATATTATGGAAAATTCCCATATTATGAATTAAAAGTCAATCTGAACGAAGAATATTCTTTTCAATAATTTCTCTTCAGGTTCTCACAATTATAAAATATAATATTTGTTATCGTTACAAT